AATAAATAGATGTTATGCTCGATTTTTTGCCGATTTTTGACACACCACGCCAAAAAGGTTGCCCATCACTGGCCTAGGGCCTCTTTTCATCTAAATCCGGCCCTGCACGCACCATCCTCACTCAAACTTTCCTTCCTGCATTTGTTCCTCTCTTCTCATTCAGCAACCAGTTGTGGATTCATGTCCAAATAAAAGCTTCCCCTAACATCTATTTATTTGATTTTCTCTAGATCAACGAATATACTGTGAACATTCTCGCAGTTCTATGTTTTCAGCCATCGTTCATATGTTCATCGGAGGCTTGCTTAAAAGCAAAATCTGGATTGCCCAGCATAAAGGCACATTGTAGCCCCCAAATTTCGCTCATTATCATCTCACATATCTTTCAATCAGAATGCTGCCGAAAGCATTTCTAGGGATGCTTAAACAAGCTTGATCCCCTGCCATTTTTGCATTCGCTCTTACGATTTTTCCTTTGTGGAAGCAAACAATAACCACATTTTTTTCCCAATCGTCAGGCATCGCTACGGCTTTCAGGTACACCGAAAACATGTTGAATAGCTGCTCTGTAAACACATTTCATCCACGCTATAACATTCTCCAATTACATCAATTGCACCGTCTACATGCTTTAACATTATTCAACATTCCCAAGCAGAATAACAGAGTTGGAAGGGACCTTAGAGGTCTTCCAGTCCAACTCCCTGCTCAAGCAGAAGACCCTATACCATTCCAGACAAATAGTTGTCCAATCTCTTCTTAAAAACCTCCTGTGTTGGAGTACCCACAATTTCTGGAGGCAATTTTTCTTTCTTTTTTCTTGGATATTTATCCATTTTTCTTGGGCACCAATATTGGCAGCATTGGTTTCAAGCCTACTTTTCAATTATTTCTATGTAAGTTCCTCAAATATACATTCTAGCATTCCCCAGCTTCAGCTTGATCCATAATTACTTCTATTTTTAACTAGTTAATAACCCGGCATTGTGCAAGTATTTATTTATAGGGGGGAAATGTCTGGACCAAACGTAATTTCTAATGTTGGANGTAACTGTTCTTTACGCCTATTAGCCTTCCGTTGCCGGGCATCCAGGACCAACTCCCTTTTCTCCTCCCCACTGCTCCAATGCATGACGTCAGGATCACACTCCCTTGTCTCCTCCCCACTGCTCCAAAGCTTAGGTGCCTCCTAGTGGCCAACCACCCTCTCTGCACCTTGCTCGGAGTCGGAACCCTGTCCAGGGTCCTCCACATCCTCCAGAGCCGACTCATAGGGTCCCTCGCTATCAGAGTCTGGTGGCAGCTCCAACGGCTCCTGCTGGGCCACAACAAATCCCTATACAACCTTCCTGGTTTTCTTCAGCCAGCAACTTTTTATCACTTCTGTATCATCGTATCCATTTTGTTCATAGCATCAATGGGATCAGCTTGCCTGCACTCTGAAAGATATTCTCTTATATCATTTTTACAACCCTTTGGTAATGAGGCATTAGTGGATCTACCCTCCAGAATAATATTGCTCAGTAGAGGGGAAATTACAGAAAGCGAGATGTGAGTTTAGAAGAGAGCAAACTAAAATAACCCTGTTTGGAGCCGCTGATTCATGAAGAGATATTGAAAGAATTTATCATCTTTGCGAGTTGCCAAAACGTCGACGGAAGGAACTATCGGTAGGTTAGAGAATGAAGAGAGAGCCGCAGTCTAAGGCGAAACAGAGATTGATTTAAGTGACCCATGGCTGATTTTTATGATGTACTAAATTTCCAGTTGATCGGTTCCTTCATTATGTTCTTTTATTGGCCAAGATGTGGTCAATAGTTTTTAGTCTGCATCCTTCCTTGTCTTCTCGAGAGCTTTAAGCTGCATAAAGAAACTCCTTCACGTCCTACGAACTGTTTCCCTTCTAGGCCAGCATCCCCAGGGTCACATGATCACAATTCAGACACTTGGCAACAGATTCATATTTATGACGGTTGCAGCATCCTAGGGTCATGTGACCTCCTGACAAGTCAAGTCAATGGTGGAAGCCAAATTCACTTCACACAACAACAGCACTTAACCCTTTGGGCAGGAAAGGTCATAAAACTAGGCCAAACTCAGTTGGCAACTGTCTCACTTAGCAACAGAAATGTTGGGCTCAATCTTTTGTTGAAGATTACTTGTACTGGAAAATCAAGGTCATAGAAAGGGGGAAGTAATGAGTTTGACCGTTATTTTTGGGCATAACTCTAGGAGTAGATGAAGGATAATAAAAGTCAGAGTAGGATAGAATAGAAAATATGGAATGGAATAGAAGGGAATGGAATGGAATAAGAATAGAACAGAATAGAAAATATAAAATGGAATGGAATAGGATAGAATAGAATAGAATAGAATAGAATAGAAAATATGGAATGGAATGGAATGGAATAGAAAATATGGAATGGAATGGAATAGAATAGAAAATATGGAATAGAATTAGAATAGAATAGAATAGAATAGAAGGGAGGGGAATGAAATATAATGGAAGGGAAGGGAATAGAATAGGAATAGAATAGAATAGAATAGAATAGAATAGAATATATGGAATGAAATAAAAGGGAAGGGAAAAGAATGGAATGGAATAGAATAAGAATAGAATAGAATAGAAAATATGGAATGGAGTAGAGTAGAATAGAATAGAATAGAAAATATGGAATCGAATACAATAGAATAGAAGGGAATGGAATGGAATTAGGATAGAATAGAATAGAAAATATGGAATGGAATAGAATAGAAAATATGGAATGGAATGGAATAGAATAGAAAATATGGAATGGAATGGAATAGAATAGAAAATATGGAATGGAATAGAATAGAATAGAATAGAATAGAAGAGAANCCCGCGGGGTCGCCAGCCAGCATTGGCTGGCAGATGGAATCCGGAGGAGGCCAAGTCTGTGCGATCGAATTGATCTTTGGGAGGTAATTGGCAGGGTAATTGTGGGACTTCAACTCCCACAATTTTCCAGCAAGCATTTAAAGTTGCCCAAGTTATAAATACAAACTTTGTGACTAGAATTGCGCATAGCATTCTTTTGCCAAAATGGGCTAAGAAGACTCGTTAGAAGTTAATTAGGAATGTCTTCATAAACTTTACAGTGAAGCACAGCATCATCCTGTGATTCAATTCTCTTCTCTTTACAAGAATAAAGCTTTCAGAATAGGGCATTTTTGCAGTATTTACCCAACAACGCTACTGAATGTAAGATAGTAAACCACAATAGCATGAAGTCTTCTAAAATGTATTCTTTGTATGTTGATTTAAAATAAAATTTAATTTGACCCAATCGAGCTCTGACATATATCATACACTACTTTCTGTTTTTAATTTTTTATTGAGAATTCCGGCTTTGAGAACTAAGATTGTATGATTTTGTCCCAGGGCTGTCAGCATCTCGCTTGAAAATTCCAAGTTTTGTAGTTAGTCTTTTGCTTGTCTTTTTAAGTATTTGACTATCAGGGTAAGATGCATTGAACCTTGAGGTTAAAAATGAGCATTGTAACCAATATCTGAACACACACATAAAATTTTTATAAGCTCTTCCTCTCAAAATAGAGCAAAGATGACCAACAATAACTTCCTCTCTAGGTTCTCATAGTTAATGTCTGGATTTAACTGAGCTTCATATTTCTTTTATTTATTTGTTTCCAGTTTTTATTATTTTTACAAATAATTATTTTATTAGTTTTACAAACAACTCAAGGATGTGAACATACACTTTCTTCCTTCTATTTTACCCACAACTATAACCCTGTGAAGTAGGGTGGGCTAACCAAGAGTGACTGGTCCATTCATGGTTCAAGCATCCTGTTCTCAAAACATTTCAAAGTCGCTAGATGTCTGGAAAAAAAAAGATTGCTGCTTAGCCCCTCTGAGCATTCAAAGCAACCTGGGTTATATGAGTATCTTCTCTCTGAGTAATGTCGCATGACAGCCATGTTTCTAAAATGAGGAACTTGCTCTATTTGATGTCCTCCGAGGATCCTACATAATTTTTTGAAGACCCTGGCAAAATGAATTACCTTTATCTTTTTATACTTTACTCACAAAATATTCATTTATCCAAAGATAAATCCATGGGGATAATCTTTTCCAGCAGTATTGAAATTATTATTTTTTTCCTGGGAAAATGGGCACAGTTGCACAAAAAAATAAAAATTCTCTGACACATTAAATTGAAACTTTCATTATAGTCTAAGAAAACTTTATATGTATGTATGTATGTATGTGTGTGTGTGTGTATGTGTGTATATGTCTGTCTGTGTGTGTGTGTGTGTGTGTATATATATACACACATATATTCATATATTCGTAGATTTTCACGAGTGAGGGTATGCTGGTCTTGTTGTGTTTGGGTCTTTTCCTGTGTAAGTTTGAGATTGTCTTGGCAACGTTTCAGCGAGGTCTCACTCGCCATCTCACCCTAACCCCAACAACATGAATAAACGTGACGATACCTCCCACCTACCAGACATCTGGAAACCAGCCCTAGTCAACAAACGAGCCCCACCCAGGCCGTTACAACACAAAACAACAACAGAACACAGCCAGCACTAATCAGCACCAATCTACCAATCATGATACAACCACACAACCAGTCATTCCACTTACTGAAACAAGGCCATCACTCCACATTTCCTCCCCACAAGATTTATAGAAAGACGGCAGCTCCGACCACACTTTAAGCCGAAAACACCAACCTGAATATCCCTCTCCCCCCTCTCTCTGTCTCTCTCTGTCTCTCTGTCTCTGTCTCTGTCTCTCTCTCTCTCTCCATACATACATCCTAAAGATTTCCTTCTTCTTTGTCTCCTTTTCCTTCTTCTTCTTCTTCTCCTCCTCCCCCCCACTTTCTCCATTTTCTATAAGCCCATCTCTAAATTTCATCCCTCCATATTAATCAGCAAAAGCCCCGTAAGAGTTGTCAGTTATAACAATTTAAACTGTTTGTATCTCAATTTGTATGTAAACAATTTCCCCCTTTGAGTCCATAAAAGGCTACATTAATGGCTGTGAGTACAAGAAATCTTATGACTCCCAGATGATTGCAAAACATCAGTTTCTGCTATGTACTCAGAAACACATAAAAAAGATGTACAAAATACATAAAGTTACTCAAAAACTCTTCTTGATTGGGAGAAAATTTTTGGCTTCTTTTTCAGCCATAATGTCTCTCGCAATTTGCAGAATGTCACTTTGCCATTCCTCACCAGAAGTGACTCCTTCTCCTCCCCTCCCCTGCCCCCTCCCCTCCTGTCTCTCCAAAATTCTCTTCTTGCTCCCATTTTAATTTGAGGATTCTACGTAGTATCTTAACTTTTTCTAATGTTGCACTTTTCTGGACAGAAAACTCTGACTTTGTTCCTAGGATCTGTTGGAGCCACTTTCCCTGCTTATGATTCACATGCCCAAGTGTGCCTATATGACTACGTACCTTGACTTGTACTTTCCACATCTTTTCTCATTCTTTCTTCAGGTACTTCCAAGGTATTTCTCCAACCTCTCTACTCTTCCTGGTGTTGCCATTTGACATCACTATCATCACCACTCCTATCTTCTGGTCCTTGTCTATTATCACAATGTCAAGAGAGATGTGCAATATTAGTATCCTTTATCATCATGTGTTGACCTCACCATTTAAACTATGATTTGTAGCATAATCAACCGGAATGTTCACTCCCATTTCTCTTTGTATTAGTGGGTCAATAGATTAAAAAGAAAATGATGTATGAAGCCTGTACCCAAAATTATAGTTCATTACACTCAAACCAAAATCATTGGGCATCTTTGACCAGGGTTAATTATTGTGCAATAAACATTGACTCCTAATTGCAATGTTTCATGAAACTTCTTTTCCTGTTTGATTTTCCGCTTGATGAAGAAGCAAATGTTCACCTGGAATGTTCAGATCACTTATTGCTCACCAACATTCTAGTTAACTCGAACAAAATAAATGACTTAAGCCATTCCTGTCATCATGCAAGATTCCTGATTCTAACTGTTAGGAAGAGGTGGGGAATGGTATCTATTTGGAAATATCCTAGTTGATAGCTGTCCTAAATTCCATGTAATTATATGTTTTTAACTATTTTAAGGTCAGGTTTGTTTAATTTCCATCAGTGGGAAATGTTTTATTTGATTCTTTAATGGGACCAAAAATGTGAGATTTTCAAGAGCACTGTATTTATTCTTTCTTTTATATCTAACGTTGATAATTTAGTTCTTACGAACTAATTTAATCATATACATATATCTTTGTGGATGGAGAATAAATAAGGCATGAAAATTCTTTACCGCAAGTGGAAAATCATTTGTTCACTTATAAGCTGACTAATTGGCCTACGACTAATTGTTAGATAATACAATAAATATTCTTGTGGGTTGTGGGACAAAAAATTAAAGCTTTTGAATGAATCATCCACATCTTCTGGTTTTCAAGGCTACAATGAATAATAAAAACAATTATACTGAAATGCTGTGCTAGGTCTTGAATACATAATTAACATTTTTTTAGTCCTCAAAGAAAAGCTATCCCCCTTTAGAAATATTTTTACCAGGCTATTAATTTTAACATTTACATTGCAGCTCTTAATTTTTGGTTGTATAAGAATTAAAACTCCCCAAAATATTTTGGATTTTTCTAAATATTGTGATAAAACTATACAGTCATGACATTGCAAGGAACCATCAAGTGCAATCCACTATCCAATGGAGAAAACTATATTAAAGCATCTGCTTGCATCCAGCTAAGGAATTGCCTGCCTGAGTAATTAGTTTCACTGTCAAATTGCTCTTACTGTTAGGATCCTTCATAATCTTCTTTCCTTAAACACATTACTCTGTGTGCTGCACTCTGCAAGGATAGAGAACAAACCCTGATCTTTTTCTGTATGAAAGACAGCTGTCATATCCTTCTGTGCCTTAATATTCTCTGATTGCTCTATTGCTCTTTGTAGGATTTAGTTTTTAATGCCCTGATCCTCATTGCTGTCCTCTGAACTGTTCCAGTTGTCCGAATCCTTCTCTAGCATTAAATCCAATCTTTGAGCTGGGTTGTGATCAGAGGTGGGTTTCACATTCTTATACCACTAGTTCGCTGCGCACTAAAACACTGAGTGTGTGTGCATGCATATGCTTGCTTCATGAACATGCGCACCTTCTGTACCTTTGCTTTGCTCATGCACGCAGCTTGAACCCATGCACGCAGCTTGAAACGTGGCTAAGTAGGACGGCGTAGAGTGGGGGCAGGTGGACGGGCCCACGTGCAGGTTGCCACTACCGATTCGCCTGAACCGGTCCAAACCGGCTGAATACCACCACTGGGTGTGATCATTGTGAAATGATTAATCCCTGTGATTCAGAAATGATATTTTTATTGATGCAGTCTAAATTTTGTGCGCTGTTCTTGCAAGAATGTTATACGGTTGGCTATATTCAATCTGCAATTGACAGGAAAGTTGGAGTTGCCGGAAATTGAATCCTAAGACACAATCTTTTGGCTTGTCAAATACTAAGAGGAAAGCACTGTTGCCAAATCCTATTATTTTAGGAACCTACAATTTTTATTTTTTGTTACCTAGAGTTTCAGGAAACATAAGAAAGGCGGAATATTATTACCAAGGAAGTCAGACATTTTTGTCCTTTTCCCTTCCCTTCATGACTTTTGGATTTGGGAGTTAGTTCTGAATTTCAACAAAGCAGTTACATTTTGATAAGCTTAACTTAATCTCATTTATTTCTACATTTTCTTTTTTTTTAAAAGTTGAATAACACAGAAGGATAATTTGAGATTTGCAACCAATTGGCTGAGGACTGCAAGAGAGGCTGTGGATTGTTCTTTCTATTCCATTTCTAGGAAGTTGTAGAGTTGGCTACATTTGACCGCCTTTACACATCAGTTCTATTAATTCACTTGTACAGTAATTCATTTCTACATAATCATCTGGGATTAACAATTGGGATTAAATATCATTGTGGATTCCTCATCATTTGTAATTTCATAAATAGTTGAGTAATTTCCCACTGTTCTTCTGATCCATTTTTGCAAGTACCATATTTTTCGGAGTATAAGATGCACCTTTTTCCCCTCAAAAAAGAGGCTGAAAATCTGGGTGCATCTTATACACTGAATACAGCATTTTTTGCCTTCCGAAATGCCGCCCCCTTCACCAAAATGGCCGTGCATAGCCTTTAGGATAGTGTTTCTCAACCTTGGCAACTTGAAGATGTCTGGACTNTCCATATCTATCTATCTTGTCTATCTATCATCTATCCATATCTATCTTATCTATCTATCCATATCTATCTATCTTGTCTATCTATCATCTATCCATATCTATCTTATCTATCTATCCATATCTATCTATCTTGTCTATCTATCATCTATCCATATCTATCTTATCTATCACCTATCTATATCATCTATCCATATCTATCTTATCTATCTATCCATATCTATCTTATCTATCTATCTATCCATATCTATCTATCTTGTCTATCTATCATCTATCCATATCTATCTTAACTACAGTATCTATCCATATCTATCTTCTTATCTATTATCTATCCATATCTATCTTATCTATCTATCCATATGTATCTATGTATCTATCTATCTATCTATCTATCTATCTATCTATCTATCTATCTATCTATCTATCTATCTTTTATATCTGTCATCTATCCATATCTATCTATCAATCAATCTATCTACCATTTATCTATCTATCATCTATCTATCTAACCTATCTATCTATATACACATACATGCATACATGCATACATACATATTGGAACGTTGAGTCCTACCCATAACCAACCTTCTTGAGATGATTAAATAATGCCTTTAGAAATTCTGACCTGGAAATTCTGGGAGCTTGGATCACACTCCAAGGGCATCAGGTTGGAGTCATCTTGCTTGCTGATTTTAGAAGTGCAGCATGCTTTGTGATGGTCCTTTTCCATTTGGGTTATTTATTTGTTTATCACATTTCTACACTGCATAAGTGACTTCAGATTTAATTAGTTCCTCAACATTTCAATCCTTGCACAACTGCAAATTGCAACCACTGCAAATCATCATATAAATAATAAGTATAAATCATTATAGCAAAATTTGACTAAAAAGACCCTGATATCACAATCAGCTGCAGCTACTGTTTATCTAAGTAAGCAACAATTTTTCTCAGTTGCTCCCCAACATTTTTTCCTCCTTCTTTCCTTCCTTCCTTCCTTTTCTACAATAAGAAACAGAGGGCCAGAAATACTCTACTGCTTTAATTGTACAACTTCATTGTTTAATTACGATGGTTTCATCTTCAAAATATTTTGGAATGTCTTTTAGCCTTCTGGGAGGCCACCCTATTAATCAGGGAGCAGGTCCATATCATGAGGTTCTATGGGATGGAAGGAGTGGGATGTGAGTCCTTATGCACATCATGAGATCTTCACACAAGCAGTGTGGATAAAGTACTGTAGTTTGCACACAAAATGAATGTGCAATGACATCATGGCCTAAGATGGACACCTGTGATCTGTAATTCAGCTTTCCTAGAATAACATCTGCCTCTTGGGGATTAAAAAAAAAACTATTAAGAAAGCCACATTCTTCTTCACAATCAAAGACTTGTTAAGACTGTCCATTTAGCTGAGTAGACATCTGTGGACCCAAGAGAAAATAGAAGGCTTGATTGAACCAGGAAAATATTAGCAGATTTAATCATGTCTCATCTTGAACATCCTCAATTGATGGCACATTGACCAGGCTCTGTCTGAGAACATATAATTGAAAGGTGACATTATAAATGTTCAGCTCGCTAGATATACTCTGATGCGGAAGAGTCTGTGATCTTTGGATTCTGTGTCGTAACGGTAAAAGTTCCCCTCGCACATGTGTGCCAGTCGTTCCCGACTCTAGGGGGCAGTGCTCAACTCCGTTTCAAAGCTGAAGAGCCAGCGTTGTCCAAAGACGTCTTCGTGGTCATGTGGCCGGCATGACTAAATGCTGAAGGCGCACGGAACGCTATTACCTTCCCACCAAAGGTGGTTCCTATTTTTCTACTTGCATTTTTTAACATGCTTTCAAGCTGCTAGGTTGGCATAAGGTGGGACAAGTAACGGGAGCTCACTCTGTTGCTCGGCGCTAGGGATTCGAACCGCCGAACTGCTGATCTTTCTGATCAACAAGCTCAGTGTCTTAGCCACTGAGCCACTGTATCCCTCACAATATCCTCCTAAAAGCAAGAAAGGGGTGTTTGTGCGTTGCAACACAGCCAGCAGTTAGGGGTCGGTGGGAGACTAGGTTTAGCTGCATTGCATATTAAAAAATCACTTAGCTGCAGAGATAAGTGCCTGATGGCACAGAACTACAATAGCTGTTCCTTTGATAAGCTACGATATCTCAGCCACACATTTCGGCTTGGTGGCATCAAATCTGAAGCCAGTTTTATATCCCCCCCACCCCTTAATCATTTTGGATGGGCAAGAAAAAGTAAAGAAAATTATATTATCCCAGATGGCAAAATATAAAATGCTTGGTTTGATTCCCCATTGTTCAGCCCTGTTAATTTTCTTATTCATTGCACATTTTTCTTAAGAGTCTTTTGACACCCTTTGACACAGACCGTTTCGCACTCTTAGATATTTTACTACAGAGCTCTTAGGATATGTATTGGCACGATCATGGCAATCTCTCACAGTCACCTAGAGTTAAATAAGGTGCAAACCATTGGTTGTGTAATACCTACTCTAGGTTCTGAGTAAATCTCCTGTTAAAGGCTGTTAACTTTTCAACTTCTGATTGCAAAGGTTAAAGGAGCTTGTACTGTGAAATAATAGGATAGGATAGGATAGGATAGGAGTAGGAATGGAGTAGAGTAGAATAGAATAGAATAGAATAGAATAGAATAGAATAATAAGGAATAGAGTAGAATGGAATGGAATGGAATGGAATAATAAGGAAAGGAATGGAATGGAATAGAATAGAATAGAATAATAAGGAATAGAGTAGAATGGAATGGAATAGAAGAGAATAATATAGAATAGAATAGAATAGAATAGAATAGAATAGAATAGAATAGAATAGAATAGAATAGAATAGAATAGAATANAAGATGGACCTTATCTTTTTTTTCCCTGCCTTGTTTTTTGTTTTTTGTCTTTTTTGTGTTTCGATTTTTTCTTTTCCCACTGGTGTGGGCATGTGTTGTTTATGTAACAAAATAAATTTTTTAAATAATAATAAAAAAAATGAAATAAATGAAATGAATGAAAGGTTGAAGGAAACCGCCAACAAATAAAGATAAGGTCCATCTTTGGATGAATCATACAGCATATCATATCAGAATGATTCCAGTCTTTGGGGTCTGGTAATCATCAAGGCGTCAAGAAATTCCATGTGATTCTTGTCTCATTTTTTCATTGAAACACTGCAACCGTTTTCCTAGCTGACTTTCCATATGCTTTGCTTTTAGAGTTAATAGTTTCTATCTGCCTTGTGTGTTTGGAACTACAGCATGTGTATATATTTGGAACTTAGCACTCCGAGTCTATGGAATTGCCAAAAAATCACTTGAAAGCCTATAGAATGAAATGTGTGCACCAGGTTTATGTAGGCACTCCATGCCACTGAATAGCATTCTCATGTCACAGTTTTGTTAACAGGCTAAAAACAGCAGCTTTAAGAACTCTGTTCCCTCCAGGGATGTATTTATAAAACTTGTTGCTCCGATGTCCCCATGAGCCAGCAAAGCATCTGTTAGCATCTCAGTGCTGGAACACAGATCTCGTTTTCTTGGTCATGGGCAAAAATTCCACTCGTTCTTCCTTTGCTCGTTTGGACACCAGATGCCGAAAGTTAATTTCCATTATGAAGTAGGAAGTGCTTTGAGCCAAAAATGTTTCATGTGTTGACCCTAAAGGCTCCAGTAGCTTGAATGATGGAGACCTGGACTCTAAAAGACTAGGACAGTTGCAGAAATGTGGGGCTCTAAGAGGGGCTTCCTGAATTAGTCTGATGCAATGTATTTTTAAAATTTATACTTAATCAGTTCAATCCAGTTTGGAAATCTGTGCCAAAAACAGGCTTCTGTTTAAAGATCTCCTCATAGGATTATGGCACCTAACCTGCAGGATATTCCAGGAATAACTGAAGATACCCCTTCCTGTTCTGACCCCCCTCTTCCTACACCAAAGCACGCCGAGACAAAGATACTTCAAGGATTTATTAACACACAGACTAGACCTTGGCAGCAATCCAGCCTGCCAAGCTAGCCACGATAGCTTCTCCAGCTCTAGTAAACACGTTGATTCCTG